ACCGTGGCGAAGCTCTGGGTCTACCCGATCAAGTCCTGCAGGGGGGTGGCGGTGCCCGAGGCCGAGGTCACGGCGCTGGGGCTGCGCGTGGGACACCTGCGCGACAGGTAGGCGGGAAAGGTGGGGAGGCCAAGGGTTCGCTCCCCGGTTATGCGCGCAGAGAGAGGACTGTCACTGGCAGCCCAGAGCACCCCTACTTCTAGGCCATGCTGTGCGCGCTCCGCACTGGCAACCTGGAGCCTCCTGCGCGGTGGAGTTTGAGTTTACCCTGGGTCCCTGGGAGAGACAGGCTTGTTCCCTGCCCCGAAGCTGATCGCACTGACCTCCCCGTGGTGCAGCACAAGGAGCCCCGAGATTTGTCACCAGAACTAACAGGCTAGCCGGCCTTTGAGCCCTCTCTGGACAGGGGCGCAAGTCCCGCGGTTTTGGCAGAGTGGTTGGAGCCAGCTCCTGGCCCTGAGCCCCTCTCTGTGGGGCCTCCGCCTTGGCGATCTCCCGTTAGCTGCACAGACCCACCCTTGGCCCAGGTATCAAGCGCTGTTGGCACCAGGCCGGAGCAGAGCGGTGTTGTCCCCCTGCCCCGTGTCAGGCTCACCTGGAGCTTGTTCCTGTCACTTCTCCAGTTGCAGAGTGACACGCCGACCAGAAGGAGGCCCGACCTGGTGGTGCACGCCCATAATCCAGCGCTCTGGGAGGCTGAGGAAGGAGTTTCAAGTTCCAGCACAACCTGGGAAAATAAGGGATTTAGCCAAACCCTGCCTCAAAATTTTTTTAAAAATCAGAAAAGAGGGCAGGGGAGGTAGCTCCCTGTGAAGGCCATGAATTCAATCTCACCCCTAGTACTTGAAAGAAAAAAGAAAAGGACACAGCAGAATGGACTCTCTTCAGGGCCCTAAGAGCGCCAGGTGGCTGCCTCACCACGGTGCCGTGTGACTTTCCCTGAAGGTCAAAATGAGAGCAAAGACAGTTTGTCTGAGCATGGAATAGATTTACGAGTTGAGAAACAGTCTCAGCAAGACTGGGCTGGAGCCCGCTGGAGGATGCAGACTTTTATCAGATCCAGAATTGGAAAAGTGGTGGAAGTAAGGGTGGTTGGACACTTGCTAAAAGTCCAGGCCCACACACAAAACTAGCCCTTTGGTACTTCCGAGTCTTGCAAGGTGTGGTTAGACTGGGAAGTTGGCGGATTCGCTGCCCCTCGTGCTGTCCGTGTGGCCATTTCCACCTGCCAGGGAGTCTCTGAGGTTCACACCAGGCCTGTGCTCACCCTGACCAAAGGGAATGGCAGTGTGTCCCCTGCTGCCCAGGACAGAGGCCCTCAGCAAAGAGCTGTGGGGTGGTCCCTGCCCCAGCCTGGGGCCAGCGCACTGAAGTTTCTGTCTCAGGGTGAGGATGGCTTCTTGGCTGGGATAGCTCAGCAGACTTCCGTGTCCAAATGTGGGAGGGAAGACCACGCAGGGCACTCGTGGTCACCTAGTTCTGAGGCCTGCTCTCACTGCGTGGGAAACACACTGGGGAGTTCCTGTTCCCTCCCCACCCAGATTTCTACCCTGGAGTGCTCCTCATAGCTGTCACTCCCCCAGTCCCGTGCCAGCCCTGGTGAGTGAGAGTCACAGAGTAAAGCCAGCTTGGGGCGCTTGGCTTCCACCGGTGATCCCGGTGCTGGAATTAAAGGGTTTCTCTGGGACTGTGACGATGTTTACAGTGTAATCACACAGGCAGGATCTGCAGGGCCTGCTGTTCATCAATGGAAAGATCTAGGGCAGGGGCGCCAGACTCCTTCAACCTGCTGGGATGCAGAATGGCATCGTGCACAGCAGAGAACATGGACGTGTGCTTCTTTCTCCTCTCTTTTGAGACTGTGATTATCTCAGTGGTTCCTAGTCCTTATCTGTGTTCCCTCTAATCACCAGAATAGTTTTGCTTTCTCACTTGCCATTATCACTGCCTCACCGCTACTGTGGACAGAAAGCACTGTATGTTCTCCTGCCTGTCCTTTGTGCTCCTGTGGACATCATAACATAAGCAGAACTGGATCGACTCCCCCTTGTTTGGAAAGATAACTGCTCCAGGTGGGGTGGTTGAGGGTGAAGCCTGGGGCAGAGGGAAGGCAAGGAAATAAGCTCCCATTCAATGTGTAATAATATGCAGCAGACCCTGAGGGAGTCCTGCACTGAAGATGAGTGATACAAACCCCCCTGGATCTCGTGGGCTTCATGTCACCACGCCCATCCATCCTCCAGACAGGGATTTGAGCAGAGGTAGAGGAAGGTGCACTGGGGATCAGGAGACAGCCACAGAACCTCTCTAAACCTGTTTTCTCAAAATAATGGAACTTCTTCTCTAAGGCCCCACGTCTTCCCCAGAGTTTGTTTATCCAAATTTAATTTACATTTGCGGGGTGTGGTGGTGCACGCCTGTAATCCCAGCACTCGGGAAGCTGAGTCAGGAGGATCGCTGTGAGTTCGAGACCAGCCTGGGCTACATAGTGAGTTCCAGGTCAGTCTGAACTACACAGTGAGACCCTGTCTCGGAAAAACCAAACCAAAATAAAACAAAACAAAAAACCAAAATTAATTCACGTTTGAAAGCAAGCTGGCCAGAGGGCCCTGCTTGATGGCTGATGTTCTCTCAGCCTGAAAATACAGTAGGAAAATGACAAATATTTCTAGAATTCACTTTTTAAATTTAATTCCCTTCCGAGCCCCTGTGTCTGGGAACTGCAGGAAAGGCTGGGTTTTCTTCTGCGAGCTCTGTGGCCCAGATTGCTGGGCCTTTTGTTCGGAGCATGTTTGTGCTTGTGCTTGGCTGTGTACCCTGAGCTCGGGTCTTTCAAGGGCACCAGCTGAACACTGCCCTGGGCACAGCTGAGGTGGGGGCGCGGCCACGTTCCCTGGCCTAAGTCCCTGCTGCCCTCAGCACCATGCGTGCGTGCCTGTCGCTTCCAGCTGTGTCCCGCTTTCCTCTCCTGGGCTCAGCCCTCTGCCCCGGCCAGCTGTAACCTGACTGTGAGAACTTTCAGTGGCCTTGGGCCCCACCTGCCTTGCTGCAGTCCCTTGGGGAACTGCTGCTGTTGGGGGCCTGTCCTGCGCCCCTGGCCTGACCCCCCTGCCAGCTCACAGCTCGAGATCAAGGTGCCAACATCTGGGCTGCAGGCCAGCTTGAGATAGCATGGTTGTAAAGCCAGCAAACAGCTCCAGATTTACCCTTCCTCCAGCTCTGCGGAACAGAACAGATTACTCATTTACAGGGATTAACGGTGAGCAGAGATCCAGTGTATCACTGCCAGGTTACCCTTTACCTCTGTCTTTGCCCGGTGCCCTTGCCAAGCCCCTGGCATGCGGCCTTGCCTTCCCCAGCCCAGCCACACTATTGTTAACTCAGCAGGAGGAGCAGAGGGCTGTGAGGAGGCAGCCTCCTGAGGATGAGGGAGGCAGTGTGGTGAAGCTCAGCCTCAGGCGGGTGTGCCAGGACTCCCACCTGGCATGCAGTTTCCGACCCAGTCCCATCTTGGGAGGGAGCTAAGGGGCATGGGCTTCAGTGAGGTCGACCACAGCAGTGTCGCAGCCCCCTTTCTGTTGCCATAGCAATATGTCCAAGACCAGGTACCTTATAAATAGAGGTTGATCGAGCTCAAGGTGGCAACTGGGGAGCCTGAGAGTCACCCCCTCTATAAGCCATTGATCCATTGATCCATCATTTTTTGAGAATTTAGGAGCCAGTCATTCCTCCAAGGTCTCACACCAAATCCATTAACATAGGAAAGGCAGAATAAGTTTCCAGCAGATGAAAACTTGGGGAAGCAGTCAAGCTACAGCACAGGGCTCCCAGACCTCTGCAGGGAGGCGGACAGGGATGTCCCGGAACAGGCAGGAATTCCCGAGTTACAGGACCCCAAGGGCAGAGCAGCTCCGAAGCCGGGGGTCTGAAATGTCTAGGAGGGAGCAGGTAGTATCCCCTGGGGTGGGGGCTGCGGCCACCCCTCACCATGTGGTACAGGCCAGTTATGGATACAGGCAGGGTCACAGAGAAGGTACCAAGTAGCCAGGTGTGGAAAGACTGGGAGTTTCAGCTGTGAGGCTTCTGGGAGCCAGGCGGAGCCCTGTGCTCAGGGTCCCCCCAGACAGTCCTGGAGCTGCCCCCTTCGGAGACCACCCTGCACCTGGCTCACACTAGGAAGCCCCTGGCATTCGGTCGCCTTCACCATCAACGGCTGGTGGAAAACAGAGCAGGCACGGTACTGTGCTGGGCTAGACTAGATCTGGAGCCCAGCCCAGAGCAGATCAAGAGCACGGAGGGGAAGGGCTGGTGGCAGGTGTGCCAAGGTGGGGAAGACGCCACCAGCCTGCAGAGGAGGCCAGCGCAGGGCCCCCGCAGAGGACAACATAGAAGGATCCGGCCCCTTGGGCAGTGGCTTTGGTCTCTGTGTCCTGTTTAGCTCTACACACGGATTTGAGGAGTGTGACAGGCCTGGGGGCTTCTGAGCAGCATGGAGCTGCTGGTTGAGCAGCCTGGGTGCCCGAGGGGCGGGGCAGAGGTGTCTGGTGTTTGAACCTGGGCTGGTGTGGGCCTTGGGCAGATGCTCTCTGCTGGGGCTGTTAAACAAGTGCCTTCTGGGGACAGCAGCTCTACACCCCAAGAACTGGGAAGACCTGGGTGTCCAGGGTAGGAGAGGAGAGAGTTTGGAGGAAGTGGGAAGTGAAGTGGAAACCCTCGAGGAGGGGTCTCTGACGAGCCGTGTGTGCCCTGCAGGTTCTGGATGGTGGTGAAGGAGGATGGACACATGATCACCGCCCGGCAGGAGCCGCGCCTTGTGCTGGTCTCTGTCACCTCGGAGAACGGCTCCCTGGTGCTCAGGGCGCCCGGCATGGACCAGCTGCTGCTGCCCTGCAAGCTGCCTTCCTCAAACAGGCTCCATGATTGCAGGTGGGCGGACCCGGGGGCCCCAGTTCCCTGGGGCTCTTCCCCGTATTTCCCAGGGTGAGCAGCAGAGGAGGAATGGGCACAGGGAATGGGTAAGCATGGTGGCCCTGGGGCAGTGTGTGGGGGTGCACAGTGCGGCCTGAGGGGTGCCAGGACCAGGTCTCATCTGCACTCATGGACAGGGGTGCATGAAGAAGTCCCTTGAGTGGACCCACGGGTGCCCCTGGACATCTGGGACAGAGCCTGCCCCTGGGGCTACTGGACGTAGGAAAGGTGGCCCGGCCGCAGAATTCACTGAAGGGGCAGGTGGGTGGCACTGACCCCAGGATCAGGCTGCAGGTGGCCGATGGCTCTCCCTGGACACTCATGTCCTGGGAGGACAGTGCCTCCAAGGTCAGCTGGCACCCGATGCCAGGGAGGTGGCAACACGGTTAGTCTGAGCACTGGGTGTTTGAGGACTTTCTCTCATCCAGCCCAGCGGGCAGGGGGAGCCTGGAGACTGGACAGCTGAGCCGGGTCGGTGGACGATGGACTGGACTGAGGGAGTGTAGACCACGGGACCGCGCCGGCCTGTGACAGAGATGCGGGGGCCCAAGCGCATGAGGCCTGACTGCCCTCCCGGGGCCCACACCAACCTCTGCTCTGCTTCCCTGCCGACACTGCACAGCCTGGTGCCGTCTCTGTCCCCGGGGCCCTGCACACGGATGTCCCTGACCTGCTCTCCTCTGGCCCTTGCAGGCTGTTTGGCCTCGACATCAAAGGCAGGGACTGTGGCAACGAGGTGGCACAGTGGTTCACCAGCTTCCTGAAGTCGGAAGCCTACAGGCTGGTGCAGTTTGAGACTGGCATGAAGGGGCGGACATCCAAGGAGATCTTCCCCAAAGTGAAGGATTTCAGATACCAGGTGAGTTGCAGGGTCACCTCCAGCCTGCCCGCACCCGGGCTTCCTCCTCTATCCCCACAGCTGAGAACTCATCTGGGACCAGGTGCATGGTCCTGTGGGGCAGATCAGGTGGGGACAGGAGGGTGCGGGAGAGGGGAGGGGAGGGTGGGGGAGGAGCCTGGGCCTGGGAGGAGCCTCCTGGAGCAGCAAGACTGGGGAGTTGAGGTTTCAATGGCTTCTGGTCGCAGAAGCATGCGGCCTCCTGCAGGGACCTGGGGCCCAGCCCCTCAGGGCCTGGCAGGGCACCTTGTCCTGGAGAGCAGTCCTGGCCAGCCCTGAGCCAGGGCTTAAAGTGCAGGGTTGGGGGTTGCTTCCTCCAAGTAGCCCTGGACTACACCCCTACGGGGCAGTGGTAGGGTCAGGGCTGCCTGCTCCACTCACGCTGTTTGCCCCAGAACAGGTCTGCTACCTGAAGGTGTCCAATAAACGCTTGCAGAGAAAATGGTGGCATTGAAGAAATTCTAACTAGAGTGTGGCTGGTTGGCAGCAGCCCTTTCCTTGTGAGGAGGAGGAGGAGGAGGAGAAGGAGGCGGAGGAGGAGGAGGAGGAGACGGAGGAGGAGGAGGAGGAGACGGAGGAGGAGGAGGAGGAGACGGAGGAGGAGGAGGAGGAGACGGAGGAGGAGGAGGAGGAGACGGAGGAGGAGGAGGAGGAGACGGAGGAGGAGGAGGAGGAGACGGAGGAGGAGGAGGAGGAGACGGAGGAGGAGGAGGAGGAGACGGAGGAGGAGGAGGAGGAGACGGAGGAGGAGGAGGAGGAGACGGAGGAGGAGGAGGAGGAGACGGAGGAGGAGGAGGAGGAGACGGAGGAGGAGGAGGAGGAGACGGAGGAGGAGGAGGAGGAGACGGAGGAGGAGGAGGAGGAGACGGAGGAGGAGGAGGAGGAGACGGAGGAGGAGGAGGAGGAGACGGAGGAGGAGGAGGAGGAGACGGAGGAGGAGGAGGAGGAGACGGAGGAGGAGGAGGAGGAGACGGAGGAGGAGGAGGAGGAGACGGAGGAGGAGGAGGAGGAGACGGAGGAGGAGGAGGAGGAGACGGAGGAGGAGGAGGAGGAGACGGAGGAGGAGGAGGAGGAGCAGGAGGCCCGCTGCTGTGCATGGCAGTCAGAGACTGGGCAGAGGAGGCAAGGAGAGCGATCTCAGCCCAGAGCCAGCCCAGGCCCTGCTGTGGACAGTGTGGACAGTGGCGGCTCCCCTGTGAACGCCCCCCCCCTCCCGTGATGCGTGGCCCGAGCCACCCCGGCACGCGTGCGGTCTGAGTGTGCTGTCCTTGGCACAGGTGCCCTATCCCGACGCCAGCCCCGTCCTGCTCCAAACCGAGGCCTCGCTGGTGGACCTGAACACCCGGCTGGAGAAGAAGGTGAAGATGGAATACTTCCGGCCCAACATCGTGGTGAGCGGCTGCGACGCCTTCGAGGAGGTGAGTGTCCGGGGCGTCCCGGGCCGTGTGGCAGACGAGTCCCCAGCCCCGAAGCCTGGAGGGACCCCCATCGAGGGTGCAGGGGGCGTGGAGGTGAGGGGCAGGCGTGCAGGGGCCCTGGG